AAGAGAGAGACACAGCGAGAGAGGGAACACAAGCAGGGGGAGTGGCAGAGGGAGAAGCAGGCTTCCCACCGAGCAGGGAGCCCGATGCGGGGCTCGATCCCAGGACCCGAGCCGAAGGCAGACGCTTAACGACTGAGCCACCCAGGCGCCCCTAAACTGTTTTTCTTAAACATTACGATTTTATCACGTTTTGAGTAATTACTTTCTTTAATAGCACTAGTGGAAGGCACAGAAGAAATGGGCTTTTTAAAGGCAAATATAGCATAAGAAAAATAACTCCTGGACATTAAAATTTTCTTTATCAGGACAGGTAACACAAGATGACATTAATTGTTTAAAATGAACATGTATTATTTTTGCAGCAGGAAGAAGGCTTTTTTTGATGATACATGTTTATATAGTACATTTCATTTCATATTGATTTTTCTATAAACAAAATGTATATGAATGTTTCACTTTAAAAGATTTTAGGAAAATGAAGAAAATCAGGTTCTCATTGAGCATTTAAGTATTAGGAATCCTAAAATCAAAACCATGAATACTCAGGATAGTTTCGTCTATCTACCATTTCGAATAATCCATACGCTGATTATTCAGTGCAAGGATTATTCAAGTCTTTTTTTTCTGTTCTCCTTTTTGTCGCCTACCTTTTTTGTTCATTGTTCATTAGCACCTCCACCATTTGGTAAGCAAGGGAAATAAAAAGGAGAACAAATGTAAATCAATTCACTTTGCTATTTGATAAATAGCATAAAGTTTTTCTAGAAAGGGGCATTGAAATTATTGTCTTAACATAGGATTTTAGGGTTATCAGTGAGTATATATTATTTTTGAAGTCCCCAGTTAATGTGTAACTGAGAGTTGCTTGTTTATTATAGAATATCATATGACAAGAACTCAACTTTTCCCAAAAAGTACCCCCAAATGTAATTACTACTCAAATTTTGGTACAAATAGCAAGTATAGGTTCAAAGATCATTATCTTCACTTTGTTTTTGTGATTTTTTTTGATGATGGAAATTTCTGTATTAGGCTTTTAAAAAGTACCAAAAACACTGATGAGAGGAGTACAAGAGAAGCAATACAGCTTCTAACTGGGCAACTTCTAACATTTAACCTGTATCTTGAAAACTAATATAAATATAAGTGAAGGTGCTTATGAGGTATTAAAAGTAAAAATGAGCTTTTAGAAAGAAAACAATTACAACACCACCTTCTTCCCTCCCTTCCAAAGCAAAAAAACCAAAACCAAAAAAAACAAAACGACCCCACAGTCTCACTAGTACCTATGATATCAATCAGTAAATCAATGCTGCTTTTTTTTCTTTTTGTCAATGAAATATTGGTCAACTTTCCAGAGCATTGAAGCAACAAAGATCTCTTGTCCGTTCATTACTTATTCACTCACATTACGACTCTCAACATCTTCCATCTCCAGACATACTTTAAAATATACTTACGTGCACACCAGACACAAGTCATGCTCCTTTTCTTCCCCATGGGTACTATGTTTACTAACCCTGTAAATAGCCACCCCTTGGCCAAAAGCTGGCAAATGAAGTGGGGAAATTCAGGACTTCAGGACACCCTAAAGTTTAGTTTGAAAACGGTAAAATCACAAATCACAGGAAGCTTCCCTTTAATAGACTCACAAAATGTTACATGAAAATGTACGTTTATCATCAAGTGTGCGTTCGCCACTGCAGTTAGGTGGATTACAAGTGAAAGTCTTCACGGGTTCTTCATCCACTACTTCAGGGCTCACTCATAACAATGACGCTGTGACCTCCATACCTCTGCTTGTCGATAATCCTGAAGTTTGGCAAACTCATCAGCAAAGTTTTTCAGGCCCTGCTTTAAATTTGGGGTCTCTGTAGAGGCATACACGTTGATTTCATTCACCAGTAGATCTGCTTTGTCTCGCAGTCTGGCAGTTTTCCGCACATAAGCAGCAAAGATTTGGCACAGCTCTCCGAAATGCTTCTCCACATTTGTGACAGCATCTTGCAGTTGTCTGGTTTGAGCGTCCCTAGAGAAAAAAATAACAAAACGCAAATCATTCTCATTAGAGATGAGAGGGCTTCATCTCCACGTTAATTTGATATGCAAACATTCCTGGGGCATTTTGCAGCTTCGAAGGCACAAACCATCAACGATCCCACCATCTCCGAGGGGCGGATTCTAGTCCTCTAGGTCCCCTTTTGGGGCCTGGCCTCAATACCCCCGACAGTGTAGGCGCACGAAGAGGCCGGGCTCTGGCCAGCCGCGCCGCTGCGGGGCGGCGGATGCTAGGGCTGCTCGGCGAGGCCTGGGCGCCCCGCTGTCTCCCAGCCGTCTGCACAGCCCGCGGCAATGCGCGGCCCGGCGCCCGGGGAACGTGATCCCCGAGATCGCCCATCCCACCCCTGGCCTCCGGGGCTTGCTGCAACCAGGGGGAGGTAGGCCCCAGAGCGCAGCGCGCTCGGCCCAGACCCCGGCCCAGGCTCGCAATTCGGCACGGAGGCCCCACGGAGAGAGGCTCCACTTCCCCTACCCGAGTCCTCGCATGGGGGTTGGGGGTGGCCCTGGTCAGCGGAGGCCCCGGGGCTGTTACCGGTTTTCCATGCTGCGCCTCAACATGTTGCCTTGCGCACGGCCGGGGACCCTGATCGGGGCCCAACGACCTGGGCTCGGAGGCGCCCGACCGTGCGCCGGGGCGCGAGCCACCGCCTCCTGGAGCCTGAGAGCCCGCCCCGCGCGCCGCCGCGCCGGC